CCCGGGGGGTGCGCAGAGCGCAGGTGCCTGGTCTGCAGTCAAGGTGGGGCTGTGCGCCCGCCCTGCGCTCACCACCCGGGCCACTCCGAGGCGCCGGACCTTGTCCACCAGGTTGAGGCTGCCAAGCGACACATCTGTCTGGCTCTCGCTGCTGCGCACGCCCTTCTTCTCCCGCACCTCGCGCAGGATGGAGCTGGCCGGCTTGGATGCCAGGAAGGTGTCATAAGGCGGGCTGGTGCACTTGAACTCAAAGGCGGGGGGGGAGCCGGCGGGCGCCTGCGTGGGCGAGTTGGGTGGCGTGGAGGGGATCACGGCCATCCGGGGGGCGTAAGTGTGCAGGAGGGAGCCCCGCGCGGCCCGGTCCCAGCTCTGGGGGTCGTACACGGCGGCCGAGATGCCGCGCTCTTTCAGCAGCCACACCAACCCCAGAGACGTGCTCATGGTGGTCGTGGAGTCTCGGGCATTGGTGAAGGACTCGGCCAGGCTCAGCCTCCGTGGGGTGCACGGCGTGGCCACCGGCGTGGACTTCAGGTGGCCAGCGCTGCCACAAGCTGGAGTCGGAGCCGAGTTAAGGCTGGAAGGGAAAATGGCAGGTTACTCCCGGGGACGCCCAGGACTGTGGCAGAGCCGGTGGCTGTGTCTCGGGGGGTGGCGGGGCAGACCTGGGACGTGAGATGCCCAAGACCTCTGTCCACGGAGTCCCGAGGTGGGCCACAGTCTGTGTCAGCAGAAGCTGCACAGGACCCCACTGCCCTCTGTGGCTGAGCCAGCGCCACGCCCGGCTAGGAAGGGACAGCTCAGGGGGACATGGACAGATGTGCACCAGTGGCTCCAGGTCCAGCTGCTTCCCCGGACACGAGGCCCAGCTCGGGGCTCAGCTCAGTAAAAGTGAAAGACATGGCACCGGCCGCGGCATATGCACATCACCACCTGCCCCTGGTCCCGAGGCCAGGACAGTTCCCTGCCCCTCCCGCTGCCCCTCACCCTTCCACGTGCTGCCCAGCCCATCCTGGTCATGGAGTTCGGGACCAGAGAAGGACACCAGAGTACCAGGCTCCCTCCACGGCACACAGGGGACTGAGGCATCCCTGTCCCTCGCCTGTCCTGCTGTCTGAGGCCCCATGCAGTCTGGCAGCTGGGTCCAGTGGGGAAGAACACAGGACAGAGATGGTCCCAGGGTTTGGGAGAGGCCCTGCCATGGCTGCAGAAAGAGTGGCTGACTTTCGGCAGCTGCTGCGAGCCTGCCAACAGGGCTTCTGGGTCCTGGGAACAGGAGAGCTGAGAGACCCAGGAGCTGGGGACAGAGACCTCTCTCCCAGCCCCGCCAAGGAGGCCGGGGACCCAGTGTGGGAGAAACAGAGGAGGACCAGCCTGGAGCAGGTCCTTGGAGTGACCACAGGGCACCCTGGGGCAGGGACGGCCCAAAAGCAAGTGCAGGCTGCAGGCCTCAGGGGCTTAGGGACCTCCCCCAAGACACAGGCCTAGCTCACACAAATGGGAGCGTGCAGGGCACTTGGCAAACACGGGGTTAGACACCACGGCAGAACCCAGGGTTAAGGGGACAGACTTGCAAGGGCACCAGTGGCGATTACAGGTGCTGTGTGCAGTCCACAGAGGAAAAAACCAGACTCAAGTCTGGCTGGGTAGCTCTGCTCCCTGGGGAGAGCTTCGGTTTTGCTCCAGCTGCCTTTACTTCCCTGAAACACAGGCTAGAAAGCCCGTAGCTCGGGACACACGAGGTCCTGGCCTTGTGGCTGCAGCCTCCACTGGGGCTGAAACGCTGCTTCTACACCCAGGTGCGAAGCTGGCACCCGGGTAGCAGGGTGGGAAGACAGAGCCGACCTCAGGTTAGGCCGCGATTAGTGCAGGAGCTCCGCTGGCGGCGTTTAATGGATTAGGGGACCAGTGGCCAGGCCACCAGAGACACATGGAAGCCACACATTTACACAGACCCTGGCAGGGACCCGCTGGGTGGCCCTGTGTGCTCACCCCCTGCCTCGCCCATGGCTCAGCTCTGCCCTACACCTCCTCTCGCCCAGGCCCAGCAGAGCCCAGGACAGCTCCGGCGTCCTCCTCCCACGACCTGTGGAGAATCGTTCAGGGTTGAGGGGCCCCCAGGTGCTGCTCACTGTCCCGTGTCCTTCCAGGGACCCTGGGAGCTCGCCTGACTGCACCATAGAAGAAATGGCCGTGTCAGGGACACTGGTCCCCGTCCCCACCCAGGAGGAGGAAAGGAGCCAGAAAGCAGCTGACCAGACACCACGCCGCAGGTTCGGGGCTCCCAGCTGGGTGTAGGCCAGGCCTGGGGGCCGCGCCCTGGGCCAGGAGTCCATTGCTACCCCCTGCTCCAGGAGCAGCCCGAGCCTGTCCTGGGAGGAAACACAGATCGGCTCTGGGGCAGCCATGGGGCCTGCAGGGAGAGCTGCTCCGGAGGGGCCTCAGGACCCAGCCCGCACCCAACAAGGGCAAGGAGGGCGGGCCAGCTCCCCCGTGTGAGCCGGGTCTGAGCGGACAGGGCTGGAGCAGGACTATACACACCGCGCTCTCGTCCTGCTGGCCCTCGCTGCCTTTCGCTTGCTGTTCGTTTTGTGCCTGGAGTCTCGCTTTGCAGCTCAGGCTGGCTTGGACCTCAGAGCCACCCTCTGGCTCAGCCTTCCGAGCGCCCGGATCACAGGCCTGCACCCCCACGCCTGACTCTGGAGCTGGCTGGGCAGGAGCCTCTCGTGCGGCTCTGGACACCAGGCCTCGAGGGAAAGGGTCCCTACCCTCAGCCGCAGCTGCCCCACAGCCAGACCTTACCTTGGCGTGACCCTCGTGAGCTCGTCCGAGGGGTGCAGGATGCGGCAGGTGGTGAAGGTGAAGGTGGAGCTGGTCTGGGACATGCACTTCCCGGGGTGGTTCGCTGCATCGGGGACAAAACACAGTCCTTGCACCTGGTGTGCGCAGTGCACAGCCCAGCGCCTGGTGATGCAGGGCGGGGCCGCCTATGGGCGGGGCTGGGAGGGTAGGGGGGTCACGCGCTCTGAGGGAAGGTGGCCTGGCTGCAGGGCCACATGTCCCCGCCTCTGCCTGTCCACACAGGGTCGGGGCCAGCAGTGAGTCCAGTTCCAGGAGGAAGGCCTAGGAGGTGAAACTGGTTTTCCCCTCGGAGGTCAGAATCGCTTTCTCCTTTGCCGTTCTGCATGACTTTTCATGGGCAAACAGGTGTCAAACTCTGCCAGGACAAGGGCAGACAAGGTGGCA